AAATTCGATTTGGAGATAGCTGCTAAACAGAAGAAAGCCAACAAAATCTACGCTAAATGAAACAATATACAATGATCTGAGTTTACGTTTGCGCCACTATAACTTGCGCAGTTCATTAAGTCTGATCTGTGTCTTTTAATATATTATGAGGTGAAAAATCTAGCTGATTGTTCTCCATCAGAGGAGCTCCAAGAGTAGACACGTAATTGCGTTGGAAAATATACGGGAACAAGAGCGAATAAGACACTAGCAAATTGGCAACAGTGTTAGAGTGACTATTATGACATTCTAATGAACAGTGGCGTCGATATCTAATTTTAAATTAAATAAAAGTTATTATTTTTCCAACATTTGATGTTAAGTGTAAATGGAACGGTCGTATGTCTTCAAATTAAGTGGTAGTAATAACACTAATCGATTCGACTGAACAGAACTTATTGTAAAATAATTATATCTATATAATAAAAATTGGTAATAGCAGTACCTAATTATCCTTAATATTAATAATACCTAAGTATTAAAACTTCCTATTTTATCCCTGATAACTTTTATGTTATTGTAAACAGGAAAAATAGAGAATTAATTTTTTAAATTAAATACAGGGTGTTCTATTAAAGAACCACAACTGGTTTGTCACCATGTTAGAGAAGACTTAGTAGCTCCATAATTTTAAAATGGGTAAGAGGTCTAAAACTTTTATTAACATTTTCTTATATATACCTAGCAGGTATTTTATAATAACCAGTACTTTGACTATTTTAAATTAAATACTTTGTACCTTTTTATTCTACCAAGAAGTATACTCTATTGTCAAAAATATATAAGCAAAACGAGAATATCTACAATTACAATAAAAACAAAGGTTTCAACTAACTCCTGATTAGAATTAAGCACTTGCTAATCTACTCAGAGTCACTGTTACCACTAGTATCACTCGTATCTTCTAAATTAATAGTTAGTTTGCTTAATGCTGGTAAATAGTTACCATAGTCATTTTCCACTCTGATTACATTTTTCCAGTTGGTTGCTGTGATCTTTGTGACTTCTCTTCTAATTAACTGGAGAACAGTAGACGAAAATTTAGGAGCCACGTTTCCTCTGCTGATATTTCCTTTAAGTTGAACCCATATTAACTCTATTTTGTTCAATGTACAATAACATGAAGGAAATCTAAGTACGGTATGCCCATTGGTCCACGTGGGCTGCTCAACCGTTCGATGAAAACTTCAACTGGGTGACTGCCCATATTTTCAAATATAATACAAGGCACATCTGAATGTAAATATCGATGAGAATTTTAAAACTTTGTATTATTATACATTCCAGTCATTGATAAGTTTGCAGCTAATAACTACTTCTGGTAAAGTACTTTTTTTATTTTGATTTTTATTGCCTGTTTTTATTACAGGTAAATATATTTTTACACAGTCTCACCGAAATGCGAGGCGACTTTACCTTGTAGAGCAATTGCCATGTTTAGTACTGCTTCTAGGTTTATCAGCCGTAATTCATTATCGCTATGGACGTTGTTTAGACTATACCTTCCTATAGTGGGGATGAAAACTCGCTTTGGTCATATTCTTGTATTCATGTCACCTAGTACTATCTCGGTGTCATTTCTTAGACATCTTATGTGGACTTGTTCTAGATCTTAGAAGAACTATTCTTTAATGTGTTCTGGTTTGTAATCAGTCAATACATGTACGTTAATCAAACTGTAATTAAGGAATTTTTTTAAGCGTAAATAGTACGTTATTTGACTATAGGCTCAAACTTCCTCTATGTGTTGACGTGCATTACAGCTATATTATGGAATGGGTTCTCTTGTCTAGAATACCGGTTCCCTTCCATCGCATTTCCTTCAAAACATCTACCGTGTACGTGTTCGTTACAGTGGCGGCTTTTCTTTATGTGCTGCTGAGCTGCAGAACTACCAAACAACCATAGCAAATCTTAATTATTAAAGAATAATTAATATAGTTTTATTTCAAATCTGCCATATTATCATATTAAACATAAACTGTTAATAATAATTCACCAACAACGATGATTAATATTATTTTTTTTACGTATTTACTCCTCTAGTGAAACCGTATAATTTTTTTACGTATTTGGTGCTCCAGTGAAGCAATCTTTTTACGTATTTGCTGCTCCAGTGAAGCCGCGTCGATAACAACCGAAACACTGGCAGCGGTAAAATGCATTTATTAGGCAAACGGCGATCTTAGCCGATGTGCTTCGGCAATCGGCTGATTAACGGCCTCGGAAATGTGTTTGCGAGCTGCAATTCACGACAGTTATTCGTGACCGTTGCATCTGTGCCGTGTTTAGAAATTCTTAGGTTACAATTTTGTTTAATTTGTTTTGTTCGAGCGTGTTTAAAACAATGGAGTTTCAATTTAAATTAGGTGTAAATAAATTTCAAAAACTTCACTATCAACAACAGTTGATTATAAAAGAACGTGGCCGTCCTATGCCTGATCTTAATATTGAAGTGTCCGGTAAAAGCCGTGGAAAAACATATACGCGTAAATTTAATAAAGACATGTATCTACGAAATCAGTGGATTTGTGGATGTTCCGAAAAAAATGCTTTTTTCTGTTTTCCGTGTGCATTATTCGGCGCAGATAAAGAGGAAAAATTGTGGCGCGAGACAGGAGTGCGGGATCTAGTGCATTTAAGTGAAAAAATAAAGAAGCATGAAAACACGCAAACTCATATGAACAATGAAATGCGATTTGCATTATTTGGGAAACTTAATATACAGGCCCAACTTGACTCTGCTTATTGGATAAATATACAAAAACACAATGAAGAGGTGACGAAAAACAGGTATGTTTTGTCAAAAATAATTGACTGTATAAAATTCTGTGGGGCTTTTGAGCTCGCCTTACGAGGACACGATGAATCTGAAACATCAGATAACCCTGGAATTTTTCGTGGTTTAGTGAATTTTTCTGCTGAACTTGATAAAACACTTAGTGAACACCTTACAAATGCGACAATTTTCAAAGGTACCTCAAAAACAATACAAAATGATATTTTGGATTGCATGCTAGAAGTATACGCTGAGGAGATTTTAAACGAAATCAATGAAGCCCCATTTTTAGCAGTGATAGCTGATGAGACAACGGATGTTTCTATGAAATTTCAAATGGTCATTGTTTTTCGTTATGTAAAAAACGGTGCTCCAGTTGAAAGGTTTTGGACTTTTTTGCTTCCAGAAAAACATGATGCTGAAACCTTAGCTAACACAATTTTGAATGTTTTAGACCCAATATTAAAGAATAACAAAAATAAGCTCATTGCACAAAGTTATGACGGAGCAGCTGTTATGAGTGGGATACATGGCGGAGTGCAAACAATAATTAAGAGAAAATATGAAACTGCTCATTTTGTGCACTGTTACGCCCATCAATTGAATCTAATAATGTCAAGAGCATGTTCTATTAATTCCCAAGTACGCGTATTTTTTGGAGATTTACATGATATACCTGGATTTTTTAGTCATTCACCTCAAAGAATAGCTGTCTTAAATCAAATAGTTGGAAAAAATATTCCTCGTTCAATCCCTACACGCTGGAATTTCAATATTCGTACAGTAAATGTCGTTTACGAATATAGAGACTTTATTATTGAGTGTATGGAGCAACTAGAAGAAGAGTCAAATGCTATTACTTCCAAGGAAGCAAGAGGACTTAGACGTATTCTGGAAGATCAAAATTTTACTTTCTGGCTGACTGTTTTTCATTATATTATGCCACATGTTGACGTTTTGTACAATAATCTTCAAAAAAAGAACATGGACCCAACCGAAGCACAGAAAGCTATACATGTTTTTGAGCAAAGTATTAACAATGTCCGAAATAAAATAGACCCTATCATACATCAAGCTTCAAATTTAAATGCGGCGCCTAGTGTCCAAAAAAGGAAACGCCCAAATAACAGCCAACAGGATCACCGTATTGCCTGTCTAGAAGTTTGTGATGTTATTATAAACAATGCAAAAGAACGGTTTGCATATACAAATCATCTAGTTGCCGCAACACTTTTATCTTCAGAACATTTCGAAAAATATAATAATAAGTTTCCTGAAAATGAATTGGATTTAACTTGTACAGCTTATAACTTCTTTGATAAAAACCGTTTGCGAACAGAACTGTCAGTTTTGTATTCCAATATCGAGTGTAGAACATTAAAAGGTGCAGTGCCTTTACTAAAATTTATAATTTCTAATAATTTAGAGGACACATTAACAGAAACCAAAAAGTTGATACAAATTCTGGTGACTACGCCAATGACCACAGCAGAAGCTGAACGTAGTTTTTCAACTTTAAAACGGATCAAAACATTTTTAAGAAATTCAATGTGCGAAGACAGATTAACAGCCCTTTCCACACTCTCGATAGAAAAAAAGTTCATCGCTTCAATACCGAACTTTAACGATAAAGTAATCGAAAAGTTTGCGACAAAAAAGGACCGGCGTATTAATTTCCAATTTAGAAAAATGCAATAAATGTAAGTTAATCAGATTTTTATAGCATGTCGTTATTAGTTACTATTAATTAGTATTAAAGCTAATTTTATTGTTTTTGTTTTCGTATGTTATTCTATTTCTATTATTTTATATTGACCGTGGTTCATGCAGCACACCCTATAGCAGATGTCACGAGCCGCCACTGGTTCGTTATGTACAGTAAAGATACAAATGCTCCAGTTCGATAAAGAGTTTGGGTACTCCATGTTTCTAATCTCAATTCCTAATCTCATCTTCCAGGCAGCCTTTTTCGTATATTTAAATGTATTCATCATCTTCTGATGTTGCTTCGGGTGTTATTTAATATAAAACAATAAATAAATAAGGGTGCAAAGTGAAATAAAAAATACTTTGCTTCTAGCTTAGATTAAAGAAACCAGTTTCTTTAATCTAAGGCTTCTAGAGATCATGGATTGCTGCTAAATTTAGTTCTTTCGCCATAAAAAAATAAATGTAACATTCATTGATACAAAAATTTATTAGATTAATAACCATTTCCCATAAATCATATACAATAAAATAAATTTGATATTACATTTTTTTAAACAATAAATAATTGGCTGGTATTATTGATGTATTAAACATTACATTTAATTATTTTAGATATATAAAAGCATAATAAATCTTAAACCACGGTGTAATTTCTCACCTATCCACAGAAATCCAACGTCTCGTACGATTATTATTTGAAAAGAGGCGAGGCATTGAAACAGGATCTGAATGAAACCTGTTGCATTCGATTCGTAAGAGTATCTCGAAATTTTGAGAACAAAAAATATGATGTGGAAATAAAAATTGCATTATTGAATAAGAAAAACACATTTTTCAAAGTGATGAAAAAGAACAAATTTGTAAATTAGAAATAATTGACGGAAATGAGCACACCATTGTTGGCATATTTGTGTTCAACGAAGCAAAAACCCTCAAGTAACGAATTTGCACTGATTTTGTATAGAATTTCCATAAAACTTTATGAGACGAAACCCGTCACGGGCACCATGGAGATCGGAGATCATCACCATCATGATATTCGTGATCAGCGACCCCAAAAACTCCCGAGTACCGAATGCATTGATTTTGTATCGCCGTCATAATATTCGTGTTCAGTGAAGTCAAAAACTTCTGAGTACTAATGCTGAACTAATTTTCATCAATTATTTCCGAATTACAAATTCATCATTTTTCGTCACTTCAAAATGCACTTTGGAAAATACATTTTCCTTGTTCAAGAATACGATTTTCATTTCCATGTCATGATTTTTGTTTAAAAAATTTCATGACACTAATACAAATGCAACAAGTGTGATTGAGATCCATCCAACTGCAATTTTTTTAGGTTTACTGCTTCATTGCCTTGTCCATAAAATGAGGGATAAAACAGCATTTCCATATCAAGAATTGTATTAATTTTAAACATGTACCTAATCGGATTCAAGCCAAGATAAACTCGAAACTTACTCAGTATGGGAATACCGTCTGGGAATAGGATTAGTGGGAGAGACGTATGGAGCTGCCTTCTATCCAATATCATCATGGACACAATACGTACAAAACGAGATTAACAGCTTATGTTATGTAAAAGATTAATTATACTAGTAGGTTGTAACCAAAACCATCTGGCAATTGCTTTGATACCAGTGTAATAAAAAGCCAAATCTTTTAAAATTCGGATTTCCACCTCTGAATCAAAATGCGGGATAAAATCAAAGATACTTTTGAGATACAAGCTTGAGGTAGATGGAATAATAATTATGGTCAAGCAAGAAATTAGATTAAAACTTTTAGGTATGAAAATATCATGTTTTGGCAAAGCTTCTAAGCTACATTATACAATGGACAAACCAAAAATTAGCATTGAAATCAAATTAAGAGACCCACAATAACAACATAATGCAGAAGCTATAACCAAAACATCAAAACCCAATAGAATATTGAGCGAAAGAGAGCAAAAGATATATGTAGACAAAGAAAGAAGCGAAAACATAAGGCACAATGCAAGGTCGAATGTATTAGTAACTTATGGTTCTTAAGAAAGTGTAGAATGAATACAAACATAATTGAAGAAGAGTAATGAGAATAGCTCGAGGTAAATTACAAACCGAACATCGGGACGTATGTCATCACCGAAAAAGGTGTAGCGATGGTGTAAGCAGGGACTGAAACAGGTAATTTGGTAAGTATCAAGAAGCAAGAAGAAGAAATATGTAAATAACTTAAGAACTTCTTAAGAGCTCAAATTTAAGCTTCGATTTGGTCTTTAATGTTTTGGAGATGTAACAATGGATTGCCTACATAGGATTTGAAAACATTTTTAAGAATGATATAAAGCCTGAAGTGTATTTTTTTGTCAAAAAGTACCAAAAGCTAAACATTCCTTCTTTCTGGGTAGTGGATATTACAGCACTACAATCAACTCATGCCAATATTTAACATTTTTAACTGTTTTTCGAAACCATCGTTTGGTCTAACACAAGGTCTTACATCTTTACAAGCTTTTAAGGCAGATTCATAATTAAATCCCCTTTTTAATATAAGATACCCAATAACAACAGAACTTGATCGGCTGACCCCTGCATTGCAGTGCACCAAAATATTATTTTCAAGTATATTTTCATCGATAGTTGGAACAGCCACATTTCAAAACGTCTTTTATATTAGTATCAGGTAAATCTAAACACTCTATATACTTATAAATAACATTTTCGTACTTTACAGGAGGCTCTATACCTACACTTAAAACAAATTGCAAATTATAACTATCTAAAACTTCTCTCTCACAACAATCTTGTGCACCTAAATACAAATTGGGTATAATTTTTGCTGGTATTTTATCCGGTTTTGTGTCTACAACAAATCCACAACTTATGCCTAAAAATTCGGTTTTGTCTTTAGTCTCCCTAAGTTTTTTCCCGTCCGCAAGAGTCACTATAGTGTCTGTACTCTTCAAGGACTGCTTCTTAGATTTAATAGAATCTAACAAACTCATTTTATATACGAAATTAATAATTATTTATTATAACAACTATTCGTGGGGTAGTAAACCCTTTTTATTCTAATTAGGGTGTGTCTCATTTGAACAGCTTAAGGTATATTTTTAGTTCATTTGAACTTCCTGATACAAATTAAAATAGATTTCTCAACTATTTTATTATTTGTTATATATTGTCCAGCACAATACACAGATTTGGAAGAACGCTGACACTTCGTTTAATCAATCATTGTTAGAGATCGTCGTGAAACCGATTCCAAACAAGGTATTTTGATCTGTAACAATAAAAAAATTGTTATTATATCGCCAAGATTTATTTGCTCTAATAGTTTAGTATTTAATTAATGAGAATCTTACACAGTCGACATGGGCTAGGAAAAACAAAAATTATTTAAGAAATTATAATTAGGTACTGATATACTGACAGCTACAATTCAAAGTAAAACAAATCACAACTCAAATAATAAGTATTGACCACATAAAAATATGCACTTTTTATGTGGTCAATACTTATTGACATTTTAAATTAAATTTATTAGACAATAGGATCTGAGACAATAGGAACAAAATACCGAAAAGTTTGAACAAATAGCTTTCTTCTTGCGGTCAGTTTCACCTCTGGATATTATCGATGAACAAAACAATTGTAACACTTAACCACAGTGTATAGCAAAATTAAAGTCATGAATTTAAAAAACAACTAGAAAGATCTGAACAAAAAAATATTGGACAAAATATAGACATAATGAATTCCGCCATGGTTACCATAGCAAACGAAGTTTTGAAATCAGAAAAAAAGGAAGAATGGACCAACCACATAAAGAGCTCTTCCTGGATACGAGGCCACCACTTAACACCACAAAGTATACGAATACTGGTCCTAGTATTTTTAAAAGCAGAAGTAGAGAAAACCATCAAACAAAGCAAAAATGAGAAATCTGCAGGTCCTGACCTGGCTCAACATCAGACTGGCTCAAACTTCTAGACGACGACAATGTCTCAGAACTAACAAACATTTATAACTACATATACGAAACTGGAACACTGCCACAAATATGGTTGGAGTCTACATTTATCCCACTTCCAAAAAAACCTAATACATTATCATGTAAAGACTTTAGACTCATTAGTCACTCTCTCAAGCTACTTCTTCTTCAGGAAAATTCTTAATAGAATCAAGCAGAAATGTGAAGACACAATGGGAAATAAAAAATGCGGTTTCAGAGAAGGATTTTGTTCTCAATGCTAACACTACTTCAACGATCGTGGGAAGTACAGAAACTAGTTTACGCCTGTTTTATAGATTTTGATAAGGCGTTTGATAGGGTTTAACATGGTAGGCTGTTTGAATATCTAGAAATGATTGGAATAGATGATAAAATATTTTAAAACTGTAGCATTTTCAATTTCATTGATTCTTTTGAGTATATTGAAACCTCCCGTATAAAAAAATATATTAAAAACTCCTTATATATGTTTAAAAAATAAAACGAAGAATTTTTACCGTGTTTGTTAGTTCGTATCAACGAAAAGTGTTTACAATCATTTTAGCATTGCTGGAGGTTAATGTAAACCATTTGAGAGTTGTTTATTTTTTTTTAAAGATATTTACTTCGGCAATTTCTTTTAATGTTCATACGTCGCAAAAGGATATCTACGTTTTTATTTCCGTTGTTTGTTTAATGTCAAGTTAAGCGAAAAAATTTTTAATTTCTTTACTCTCGTTGGAGCCGCGATCCAGAGCGGTTCAGCGTTATGTCCAAATTCATGTCGAGTTTGTAAAATTTTCTGTTTTTGCCCCTTTTCATAGAAAATGAGTAGCAGTGTGAAGTTAATGGTTCAGTAAATGTTTGAGTGAGGATTGGATCGTTTTGTTTCTCCCTGGTTATCATCCAAGGCTTTTGGACAGTATGGAGATAGATTTGCTCGAGATATGGAGATAGATAGTTGTGTTCGTTGCACAGAGAGTAAAGCCCTCAGTTCCAGTTATGGTTTCGGATATTCCAGTGGCGTCTGGTTCCACAAATTCTAGTGCATTTTGTTAGTGAAAATCCAGGTAACTTTTTGATCAAATTTTAAAGTAAAGACAGACAATTTGTTTTAAATTAAATAATTGCTTTCGTTGAAATTTAAAAATTGTTACATTTAAAATTGTAAATTTTAGGTTTTGAGTTGAGCTGTCAATTTGTGTGTTTAGTTTTTTTTTGAAATTTAATGTTAACTTATGACAGCTCGTTTTTTATTTTTTTTGCTATTAGTTTGTTTTATTTTTAAACAAGGTTAACCTCCATGTAAATTTGTAATATTATGTAGTATCTCCAACTCCTGGAGTTTGTAAGCGGATGACACGTAAGTTTTTTTGTATTTTGCATTTCTCTATTTTGTAACTGTTTGTGGTGACACATAAATAAAAGTTAAATTTTATTTTCTAAACTTTTTATTTATTTTTTTGAGCTAAACCTTTTTTGAGTCTTATTTGAAAAATATATGTTTTTGATGTTTTCTAATTATTTTCCTAGTTACAACTAGTGGTTGTGATAGGTATAATTAGGCACCTCAGGTGGCGCCCTATATTAAATTCCTTGAGGTGTTTCTTGTTTATTTTTATTTTGTTTATCTTAAGAGATTAAGTACCCCTTTATTTCATTTTCTTGTAGTTGCCCCATTCCAACCCCCTTATCTTTTACTTATCCACGACCCCAGCTCTCCTACCAAACCCTGAGTGCCGTTCGCACAAGTAGCGTTTATTTTGCTTGCCTTATCTTCACCCCCAATAGTTTCTTTCCCCAATTTTCTATCCCCTGTATTAATGCCCCCTGTGGTAGGCAAAATATTATCGTTACAAAACATCTATATTGGAATCAAGAAGCTTCTATTCTGGTAGACGCCAAAGAAATAGACGGGGTTTGTATTCAAAAAGGTGTTAGACAGGGTTGTGTGTTGTCCCTAACTTTGTTTAACGTTTACTCAGAAATAATTTTTAACGAAGCCTTGGAAGGGCAATGTGGAGTTCGAATCGGGGGAGCAACTATTAACAACATCAGATATGCAAATGACACCGCGATCACCAAAACAAAGACAAAGTTACTTGTGGTTAGTAAACAAGACCTCGGAGCTATATAATGAGCATATAATGAGAGGAAGCAGATACAGGATAATGCAGTTGATACTCAACGGAAAGATCGACGGGAAAAGAGGAATTGGTAGATATAAATACTCATGGCTCCGAAATGCCGCGCAAGATCCAGAACGATATCGGCAAATCGTCATGAGAGCTACCCACGCCTAAAACTTGAGCACCGTACTTAAAGAAGAGATAGCAAAATTAACATGTGACAAAGCATAGTAAAAAAAGTTTAGTGGACCAAAATATTAAACACGTTTACAGCATTACTTTATACATTTTGAATAGTTATTCTTCAGTTTGAGTACAAAATCTTTTTTGTATCCCTGTTGTTGTCTACTGTTTCTTTTTGTAAATATGACATGGTTTTTTTACTTTCAAGTTTAGCTATATTTCTTACAGATTTTTGTTACTTTAATTACCAGTCTCTGAGGATTTTCTAACATGTTTTAAGATTAAAATCGCGTCATAAGTGTACCGTAGCTTTTATCATTTCTTCCGTTGATTTAAATCTTAGGTGACTGATCTTACCAGGTTTTCCGCTAATTTTGTTTAGAGATGTAGAGGTTGGATATTATTTATGTATCATAAGGTACGTTACGTTACGATTATAGTTTGGAGATTATTTGTGTATCAAAATAAGTTACTGTAAAATGTTTAATAAATTTTCATGTTGGACTTTGTCGAAAGCTCTAGTATAGTTTCTAGAGTCAGAATGAACAATTGGTTTACATCCATAGTATCTGTTTATTTGTAATATATTTAGTAGGAACATATCGTTAATTAACATAACGTTAATTAAAATATTAAGAGATAAAGTAATTGATATTCGTGAACTGAGTATCATAGAACAATTATATTTGCGACAGACAGGATCCACTCGCATTAATCTTAAGTTGGCAGAGGAATGTATGATCGTAAAAGAGGTCAGACAAGACTGCATACTTTAATCTAGATTCTAATAGAATCTTTAAACAAGCACTACATAACTCGCTCTACAAAACTCATAAATACAATCAGATACGTAGATATCTATATGCAGCTATTATTTTATTGGGAATACGTCACAAATTAAAGGTTAAAATAATTTTATTGACGTTTGACGTTTCAATTTCCACTTCGGAAATCGTTCTCAAAATAAAAACATTAATAAACCACGTGCCATGATGACAGTAAAATTCTCTTGTTAGTGATTCCATAGTAAATTATGAGGAAAAAACCTCATAATACTATACCGACATGGTATGGTATTTAGACTTTATATTTAGTTAAAAAAATATAAATGATGTATCCTCGATATGTTACTGACTTAGTAATACTGGTATTTTCTTTTTGTTAACTGACCCTTTTAATATGGGTAACCAGATCCTACTGCATTCTGCACTTATTCTAACATTTAATGGCCTCGACGTTTCACCTAAATAAAACTGATTGCATTCACAAGGTATTTTATAAGTACACTTCTTTGTTCTTTCTTGTACATTGTTAATTTTAGTTTTAGATAAATAGCATCTGAATGTTTTGTTGTGTTTTGTAACGTTGTTGAAATGTTAATTTAGTTCCTATCCCTTTGAAGTTTTTCTGATAATCCTTTGTATGGTATTGTTATTTTCCTCGTATTATTCCTTGTGTATGATGTAGGATCTCGTTCTAAGTTGTTCTTTCTATTTGGTCGATTGTTAAAAACTCCTTATTTATAAACAATAATATATTGCAATATTGGCAATACTCCTGAAAGCGATGGAATTCTAGCAGAAATGCTGAAGGAAGGCGGAGAAGAAGACATCACATATCTAAAATATTATTTAATAAATCTCTATTCCAAGGCAACATACTCGAATAATGGAATACTGCTAAAACAATACTAATACACAAAAAGGGAGACACTACAGACCTGAAAAATTATCGA